ATCCAGAAAACTGTTGATGTTTTAATAAAAGTCTAGGTGAGGAACAAAAACATTGCCTTTGAGAAATTAAAGTAGTAAATTAAGAAATGTGTATGCCTATTCTTCCTTCTCAGTAGATGTAACCCAATTAAATAGAAACTTCAAACTATTCTGCTTCATCATTCTTGTCATGATGCTTTGTAAGCCTTTCTGTCATTTTATGCTCTTGCATACCTTAGAAAGAAATAAAATGATCAGATATGTAATTTAAACCCTCCTATATTCAGCCACAGAAGACTGCCTTAAGAGCATGGGTCACTGAGAGTTAAATGGATGCAATCAAATCTGATGCTCTTGGGCATCAATTGCTTTCCTGAGATGATTAGGATGGATACACCACCTCCAATACACCAAAAGCCGGGTACCCTTTACAGAGTTCAGGATTAAATTGGTGCGCTGTCAGAAGGCATTGCCTTTCCCCTGCAGCACTTATGGCTCACAGCCATAGGCACCACTGCACACCAAGAGTCAGTCCTGAAAGCAGCAGACCACTACTTTGACTTCTCCACAACCTGTATAAAACTGTACATGTGCAATTTATAGCAGCACTGTTGTTTAGAGCACATATGCTGTAGGCATAAGTTTATTGGTTATTTTAATTTATGTACTCTTTGCTTTAAGGTTGTAAAATGACACAAGTTTCTAATCCGTTAAAAATTTGGATGTGCACAGATTCATGTTCGTTTCAGTAGAATATGTCATATGTGTTCAAGTAGATCTTATGATCATGCCTTTTTTTTTTTTGATTTTATTTCATGGTGACTATCCATGTATAGTGTCATCTAAATTCTAACTTTGCAGTTTGGTTTCCTTGTGAGAAAGTCTCAAAGTACATATTGCTACAGTTGTTCTTGATTAGCTCCGAAGACAGATTTTTCAAGACTTTCATCAGAAAGTGCAGGCTGCTGTAGCTGATTAGACCTGGAACTGATAATCAAACTTTATTAATCCTGATGTTAGCTGTCCTGAGCGTAATTGAGCACCATTCTAGCCTGGTTTGTAAGAGGACACCTGAACAAGGTCTGTGAAGATTAATCAACATGTAGTTTGGCTGCACACTGAAGAAATTGAACCTAAGTTTTTAATGGTGATTAATGAATGATGCAATACTCCTCAAAGAGAAATTAAGAAATTCTCAGTTGTGATTCAGACTGGACTCCTCAAGCAGAATGAAAATCAGGCTCTCCTAATTATTTCTTATTGTTATTAAAATAAATACATATTGGATTTCCCAAATGAATGCATATTATTGAAATAATATACCAAGATTAGCAATGATATTAGACTTATTTAAAAGAGAGTTTTTAACTTGTGTACTTTTCAGCTGTTGAATTTTTTTGTCACCTACTTAAAATCTCGTCCTTAAAGCAATAATAGATGAGATTTATCAGTTCCTAAACAGGCTGACTGAATCCCTTACAGATCATTAGATCTGTGTATATGTATATTTTCCTAGTATATCAGATTCTAGTTTGTGCATTATTCTTTCAGGGTGTCTGTCTCAGAAACAATAATTGTGGAATGAGGGATAAAGAAGAAATGGTATTAATCAAGAATCAAAATTAAATAATATTTATAAATTGAAAATGATGAAGCACTATGGTGATTACAGAATTTTCAGTCAAAATTTGAAACCACTTGTATGGATGCTAATATCAACCCAATTCATTTACCATGGAACTGGATGTTTTAAACTATAAATTAACATCATGGTTCCTTAATCCCCTTCTTTAATATCAAAATATTGAGAATTGCTATCTTAAATATCAGTTGATAAACTGATCGAATGATAAGAGGCAATCAAAAAGCTATTAAAATATGCCATGCATGTACATGTTTTTGTGTGTTTGTGTTTTTTTAAATAAAAAGGTCGAGAAAATGGATTAGTTATATTAATTTACAGTGAATTGTTCAGTCTCATTGTTCAGTTTCAGAGATTTAAGGCAGTGGTGTCAACATTGACATTGACTGACCTCAGTGCTGGCTCCATGATTTTCTAGTCTTGTACCTCTTTTTGCTAATACTATGACCTACTTTTCTAAAAAACTATTTTAACCTACATTATTATGATGAGGAAATAAGATCTACATCCCCAAGCATCATCCCACTATGAAACTGTAACATTGAGGGACTGGTGTGCACTGAATTCTGGGAGATGTTAGATCTCACACTGCTACTACAGTCTAAAATGTTCTTCACAGAAATCAGGGTACAGTAAGCCTCAGGTGGTGTTCTAGTCAGAAGAGTCTAGGACTTTCCTTTAATAGGATGCTAAGTGACTAAAATAGGCACCTATCATAGAACTATGAAGGCCCAAACAAGCCTTCAGTTTATTTGAGCTATTAGAAGCATTATTTGTAACAAAATTCAAGTTTATTTAATTATATGCCAATTCATATTTTAATTTGAAAAAGAATTGAAAGCATTTTTGAAAATACTTAAATGCCTTGTCTGTATCTGCAGTGTTTCCTTGCTTGCATTTGAATACAGACAGAAGGTATAAAACACTCAGAATTTCCTATTCCTATATTTCATTGGAGTTTCAATAAAGATGATATTACCGGGTGACTTCTTTCATATCACAGCCCACTATATTTTATCTAATCACTCTTTATTAAGCCTAATAATTTGTGTTTTATTAAAGTCTTGTCATTTAAATATGATTTTTTTCTCTTCAGAATAGTCCCTTTTGTTCATTTATTCTGTCGCAGTCCGGATGATCTAACTGAGATGTAGTTTAGTCAATTTAGCTACAAACTGATGAACATTCTCCATTACTGTGTCACTTCTGAGTCACCAAATAATCTCTGCTCGTACTCCACACTCCATTTGAAATGCAGATAAGCAACTAACTGCATCTTCCTGTCTTTCAGGAACATGACTTGCATCCATTGAACTTTCTCTATAACCTTTGTCTTCACTCGAGACACCAGTAAAATCTTCTGTGTTTCTCATTCCTCATAACAAAAGTATTCACTTTGGCACTGCCATTAAGAACACTTGTCTGAGGAGAGTGAAAAATATTCTTTCCATATCACTGTGGTGAATAGTACAAATAGTCAAAACACTTGTATTGTTAGCGGCACCAGCCCTTATACTATACTAGCATTGCATCCTTTTCTTTCTTTTCTACCAATTCCAGCCTGTGTTTAACCTATGAGGTCACCCTTAGAAAGAAGACAACACTGCTAGTCTCCAGCATACTCCTTAAGTGTACACCTAAGAATCTGCATGTGATAATACATCTTAAATACTGATTTGGTTTTGCATTCATTAATTAATTGTTGTGTTTGCTGATTATTTATGCCCATATTCATTAGCCTTCTTCCTTGTTCTATGTAAGAAGTGGGCAAATAATTACAAGAAACAATCTCAGCAATGTATTCCCACATTTGTCTTGCTTAAAAGTTCTGCCAACTGATTGCCTTTGTCCCTGTGACAGCCTCAGGTGAAGTGCTCAAAACTAAGTAATGGAGTTATTTTAACTTCTGTAATATAAGCATACATTGGCATAGTTTTTTTTTTTTTTTTGCTTTGTTTTTTTTTAATAATGCAGAGATCTGTCCCAGAAAACAGACTTCTGACAGAAAGCCCAATTGCAAATGCAGCATTATTGTAAACATTCAGGAGAGTAATCCAGTCCAGTAATCGTGTCTACCAACACTCCGAGTCCCATGAGCCTCTTCCTGTCCAGCCATACTTCTGAACCCAGGTCACAGTTCCTGGGCTGTAAACTCACAATGTGTAGGTGCAGTCGAATGGACTTAGTCAAGTAATAGAGAAAATCATTTTGATATTTCAGTTAGCAATAATGATAATAATAATAAAATTGAAGTAGCTGATAGAGGTCTTCCCCAGGTACATGTGAAAATCTTCCTTACTTCTGACTGGTATTTGGTCTGGTAGGACAGTGATAGGGGGCCAGCTCTAATATTAGGTTCTACAAATGTATCAGGAGGTCATAAGCTGTTTAATGTGCCACGCTGTCCTCAGTACTCCTTGGAGGTCTTCTATGATGTGAGCATATGAAACTGTAAAAGTGACAGAGAGAACCCTGCTCCCTTATGCTTCATTACAACTAATTGGGCCGTGTGCCTGTTCCCCATACAGACCGAGTCCTTAGGCCAGTGCTGTAAACTTGATGAGTATTATGGGACTGAGTTAAGAGTTGAGAGCAAGTCTAATATGATTAAAATTCCACACTGCTGTATCATTGTGAGCATTTTCATTATTCAGATGCATGCGATCAGGAGTGCTACCCTTGCAATCCTTTACCTTTCTGAAAGTTACACTTCCCTCTACACATTAGATGTAGCACGCCATAGATTATTCTATGGATCTATTCAGCTTTCCTGTCAATAACTGTAATCTCATTGAAAATATAGATCTATGTGAAAATTAGAGAAGGCAGCGGAAGAAAATTAAATGTCAGATTTTGCCATATATTACTTAATAGTAGCCACTAGATAATGCCATTAATTTTACAAGTGATTTTTCTCAGAAACTCTTTGACATAAAGGGGGAAATGGGATGGTCTGTGTTCTTTGTGGTGAGTTTTTGCAAGCAGCAGCAGTTTACCTTGCTGCTGTATTTCTGTTTACCTTGTTCCCTATGGATGGGAATAATTCCTCAGATGTCTTAATCCTCTGGAGCTGCTCATTGCAGTTTGGACCCCTCCTTCCTGCTCCCTCTCTCCCTCGCCTCCCCCCCAAAAAAAGATGAGAAAGTGATTACAATTCACATCCATAGAATAAAACCTATTGCTTTATTGTTACTGTATTGATAGTTCCTCCTGTTTCTTTTCTTTTTAGCTCGTCAACTATAACTTTTTTATATAGCGTTTGGAATAATGTGATTTGAATGTCTGCAAAACTTTCATTCTGTTATCTAATCTTTTTAAAGCTATAGTCTGTAAACATTTGCTCAGAAATCCATAACTACAATCCTCTCTCTTTTCACAGAAAGTGTTGATTACGGACCGGTTTTTGTACAAGAACCAGATGATGTGATATTTCCCACTGATTCTGAAGAGAAGAAAGTGTCTCTGAATTGTCAAGCTCGTGGGAATCCTGCTCCCACATACAGGTACATGTTTTAGATTTTTATGTGTGTATGCATTTCTGAATATGTGGCCACTACAACCCCATTCTGCGCATCAGTGTGCATCAGACAACAATATAATATAAAAGCTCAGTGACCCAAAAGGCCTTCCCAGTTGTTGGGAGCAGTAAGTGTTCTGAACAAGCAAGAAGCACAAGTGGAAGAAAATGTAGACAAAGGGATTTGTAAAATACAGAATTCTGTTCTCCGTACACTGTGTCTATCCATGTGGAGGGATACTTTTTGTCTACTTTTATGACTCATGTCTATAACAACTGAGAAGATCCAAATATTTAAATGATCGATTTCTGAACAAAAAGCTATGAAAATATACTATAAAGTTAGGAAATACTATCTCTTTTCATAAAGAAAGCAATAAAGAACAGGTACATTAAATGGCATAACTATGCATTATAAGAAACCATGCCTGAGGCAAACCTGGTGTCTTTCACTGCACAGTCTACTCTTTCAGTCCTTAATAACCATCATCTTCCTGTTAACTCTTTCCTGCTTGCCCATACAGGCTGTTCCCTTGCTGTCTGTGATGCCATGCATGGGAACCTGAGACATCAGTGCGCTAATGGTGCCCACTTACAGTGGGGAGCAGTGTGCCGCATTCACCTGCCTCCATTTGCTGTATCTGACTCTGCTCATATTTTATGCAAATTACAGGCAATGAAGGAGGGCTGGAGGAGCATATGGTTAATTATTTTCTCCAGATACCCTTTAATTTTTTTCATAGAGTCATTCTTCACAGACAGAAGCATAAGGACTCTTAGACCTGTGTTTCATCAAATACAACGATCATCAATTCTGCATTTTATTTTTTACCTATTAACCTTTTCATTTCATTGGAGAAGCTGTTAGGATTCTGGATGAGCTCCACTGAGCCTTCAGTCGCAGGATTTCAATTTCCCTAATCCTTTGAAATTACCTGATCGACATTCCTTCTGTAATTTCTATTGTCTTTTGCTACTTTTTTCACTTATAAAAAATGATCTACATTAGTTCTCCATGCTCTTAAAGAGCTGTCAGTCCATCAAATATAGCATTTACCCATAGAGAAGAAGCAGAATTCCCACTCAGAAGAGGGGATCCTATGTTCAGTCCTGCTTGACAACCTCATTAGTATTTTGGAAATTCTCTCCTTAGGGAGCCTGTCATCTCCTTTCTTTCTTAGTCCAAATATTTTTTAATTTTTATAGTGTAATGAAGTAAAGTGATACAGAATTTAATTATATCTATTTCTTCAGTTTACCAGAGATTAATTGGTGTCAGCACCCTCATAAATACATTGACTTGACTGCTATTCATGCAAGGAAATTTTGGCCCGATAGACCTTATTCTAGCAACACAGTTTGACTGCTGTCTCCTCTGTGGTTGCCACTCATCTGAGCAATGAATGCAATGTATCAGTCAGGGGGAGGGAAATATAAATACTTCTTTTCCTTTCTGTATGGCTAGTGATACAGTTTTTACAATCTGTTTACAAATTATTCTTTCCGGGGACATTATTTCAATTTAACAGACTGGAAAATACTCACCTCATTTGCAGATTTTCTTCTCCTTTGATAAGAGCTCCTCTCTCCTTGGTCAAGCTCTACCCTGAAATCAGATTTTTTTTTCTCTCCATTGCAGTTATTAACATATCCAGATGCATTAGTTTAGTGCATAGCTCTGTGAGATATACTGATTTCAGTTGCTCAGAAGGTCTGTAAATCATACTTCATTACATTAAGTTGAGAGACATATAATGAGGAACATAGATTGCTGACCTTCAGTGAGGAATATGGGCATCCACAAGCCCCATAGGGCAGCAGTGACCCTAAGTCAGACAGACACAGGTTTCCCCGAGGGGGCACTCTCTTATACATCCCGCTCATGAAACACTGCATCTCCAGTTTTACATAGGATACACTTAAGCTGTTTGGAATTTTTTTTCAGTATTATTTTCTGATAGAAAAGGCAGCAGAGGGAAGGTAAAAAAAAAAAGAAAGAAAAGAGAAAAAAGAGGAAAAAAAGGAACATTTTCTGTTTATTTAAGCCAAATTAGTAAACTTGAAAAAATTTGTGTCATTTGCCTTCAAGAAAAAAAAAAAGAATATATTGATTTTTTCCACCACACCATTGTCTTTTAAGCATTATATTTAGTTTTCTGTCCTCCAGAATCAGCCAGAATACCTAAAAGAAAACATATCACATAATTCAGTGTTGTTTTCCTCTAGTGTGGGGAATATGTGAGGGGAATGAGATAATTCAGAACAAAATATATAGGCATGGAGCTGCCAAGCTGCAAACTTTTGGGGAAACACTACAAAAACATAATTTTGCATTGAATTCAACTGAAAATGAAACTAAGTGAAGCCAACTAATTAAAGAAAAATGAATTTTGCTTCAATTCCCATTTGGAAATGCCTAAGCATTTCATTTTGTCTTTCTCCTTATCTAAATTTCCACAATTCCTGGATCAATTCATTTTTATTCTTATTTCATATAAAAAGTCAATTTTCGTTATAATTAAATGCAAAATCTTAAATTGACATTAGGCTATGTAAATTGTTCAGGATGGAAATACTTACTTCTTTTTATCCCTGCTAAGTATGAACCTCTATAGAAAGTGAGTAAAGAATCCTACAGAAATATCTTTAATATCTGTTCTCATACAAAGTTATTGTCAGCAGTGTTTTATTCTTTGCATTGAATAATGTAGGGATCTTTTGCAATAAAAAGTTCAATCATGATTAAAAGGACAAATTAAAGTTTTACAGTTCATCCTTATGCTGATAATTCTGTCCTTTGGATTAAATAAAAATCAGAGGTACACCAGCTGAATTCAGCTGTCTGTATCTCATGCACCATGAATGTTAATAAGATAAGGTAAACTGTTAGTCATTTTACTTCATTAAGGTTGCCTCTAGAGCCCAGATGTTGCCAAGTTCTTACAGTCTTTTCTGAACTTTAGCAAAGCTTGAAGGTGCTTGTCAAATTCCCAAGCATGAAAATGGAGAGACTGCTAGGTTACATCTCAGCTTCAGAAGGTCAACGCTTTATAACATGATTCACACTACCTGGCTTATTCCACCTTATACTCACCTCGCAGAGGTTCAGGCTTCTCATTTCACCCCCAGATGCTTCCCAGACTTAGTCAATCTTCTGCCAACTCCTCACCAGATCCTAATTTCCATACTATTACCCCGACTAACTGCCAGATAATTCCAGTCTCCCCAGCCTCAATCTTCTCTCAGTTTCATGTATCCTGGTCCAGCTAATATTATTTTGCCTTTCTCAGATGCCGACATCCCTTAATCCCCAAGAGCCTATGTCTTTAAATCTACCTCTTGGCTCTTCACAGGTCTCTCTTCTCATTGCATTTGAATCAAATCTCTCCATTTCCTGAGTCCTCCCAAAACACAAATGCTGAGGGAATGGAAGAGAAAGGCTCTTTGCTCATGTACACTGCAGTGTCTGTGTTGTCAACTCTCTGAGGCCACCTGGGCTTAATACTTTCATGACAAAGTATGAACTGAAATTCTGATTACCATGAGCACAATCACATAGCAGTCTGGACATAAACATGATGCACCTGTTTTACAAATTTCAAGTCTCATGCCTTTGTGGGCAGCAGTGTTTTGCAGACAAAGAAGCTTCTAATTCAAAGCAGCATAAGCTGAATATATATCATGTGTTCTCTCTATATGTGTATATGAATATATATATCTCCAGAGGTAGAAGATATGTTTTTATTTGATTTTTTTTTAATTATCTGTCGATATTTTTTTTTAATTATCTGCGATGTCTCCATACAAAAGTTTGCCATATCTTTACATATCAAGTATCCTTAATAACAATGGGTGCTACAAGTTTATGTACACTGAGCATGATGCCTTCCTTTGGGCATAAAATGCTTAAGTTAGTTTGTTTGTGTTTCTCCTAAGATGGCTTCAAAATGGAACTGAAATCAATATTGAAAGTGACTATCGCTACAGTTTAATAGAAGGAAGCTTGATCATCAGCAATCCCAGTGAAATGAAGGACTCTGGACAGTATCAGTGTTTAACGACCAACATATTTGGCAGTTTATTAAGCAGAGAAGCCATTCTTCAGTTTGCATGTGAGTAACATTTATTTATTCACAATGGATAAACCAGATTTTTATATTGCCTGATGAGGTCTAAATTGTCACCTGTCTGTTTTACAGAAAAGTTACACTGCCTACAGACTTTATTGGGTTAGGTTAGAATCTGAGAATTAGAAACAAAATGCTTAGGGAGAAAGAGTTTTTTCCATGCTTTGAGAAAAGTCAGAATCAAATAAATAAGTCAGGATCAATCAGTAGAGAAAGTCAGAACTGACTAATAAAGCATTTGGGCATACAGCCCAAATATTATCTTTTAATGACCCATTTGTATATTCCCCAATGATATATTTCATTCATTGATATTTTTCTGAAACCTATATATTATTTATGTAATCACACTATTCAAACATGTGAGACTTCTTGTACTTGAGCAAGAGATAAAGAACATCAGAGTTACCACAGAGTTGGATAAAGTGCACCTATATTTGCTAAAAAGTCTGCATCCATAATTTTCTGTATGAGAGCAGTGTGTGTTAGTTCATCATGCTTATTATTATTATTATTATTGTTATTAAAGATAAGCCCTGCCATGAGGGTGCAAAAGCAGGTCAAAGGGTCAAGGGATATATTTCTACCCTTTCTGATAAATCAAAAAAATTCAGGGCTATTGTTTTAGTCTTTTCTGCTGCAAATGCTATTAACGTATAAGGACTATCTCCCTAAAGCATGGGGACTGTCTACTCCTTTCTGAGCTCACAGCGATACTGAGGTCTCCGTTCCTCACAGCAGTATGTTTAACCTCTAGACATCATAACAGTGGTCTTATCACTAGCTAATTTTGGAGCTCAATCTTAAATTTAGCTCTGAGAAAATTCCACTACATTTTATCTTTCAGACAACAAAACTATTGTAAAACAAATCACTTGGTTATAAAACCTGACAGCTGGTAAGTATGGGTTGTGCTGGAGCTTTCAACCTCAGATTTTCATTCCCCCTTCAGGAGAATGGCTAAAAGGTGGCTATGTGACCCCCAGCTGAAGAAATGACAAGCAAATTGAGAGCTGGTGCCCAAGCAGCAGAAAGTCAATGGGATTTCAGTGGCTAGGTCAAGAGATCATAAAGGACCCCATGTATTTCCAGCTACCTTATAGTGAAATCTGTTTTTTTCATTTGTTTGTTTTTTGTTTGTTTGTTTTTGACTACTTCCACTAAAACAAATTTAGCTAAGGTGGTAAAAAAAGAATAAGTTAAAAAGGTTGAGTCTTGCAGGTTTGTTTTTATTTGATTTTTTTATTATTAGCTCACACAAGTGCCTTGCAGATGTCAACATTCTTATACTACAACACTACAGTAACATACATATGTTTTCAATTCTTTGAAGTGTTAGCTTGGGAATGGCATGAAGCTTTTTTAGGCAAAGTTGACAGAAGATTGCTAGCTGAAAGAGCTGAGGTACAGCAAACAATGTTGCAGAACTTGCAATAGTTTTAAGTTGTTTTTTTTTCAAGTTTTTTAAATTTCTTTAAGTATACAGAGCTCTGTAAAAAAAAATGCATAACTGGCATAACTGGTTGAGATTCTTTTAGAAGTTTGTGAGCAGCCCTTGCATGCAAGCAAGGGACCGTTGATCCTTCAAGGATTTCTGAATACCATTTTGATAGAATCATAGAATCATAGAATCATAGAATGCTTAAGGTTGGAAGGGACCTCTGGGGGTCATCTAGTCCAACCCCCCTGCACACGCAGGGTCACCTAGAGCACATGGCACAGGACTGCATCCAAGCGGGTTTTGAAGATCTCCAGAGAGGGAAATTCCACAACCTCTCTGGGCAGCCTGTTCCAGTGCTCTGTCACCCTCACTGTTAAGAAATTTTTCCTTAAATTCATGTGCAACTTTTGGTGCTTCAGTTTGGGCCATTTCCTCTAGCTCTAGTTCTGATAATTTCAGTATATTTTGATAAATTATAAAAAAAAATCTTCTATCAACTTCTTGAATCTTATCTTTTATCTTCTCTTATGACCCTTTTTTTACTTTAAATCCCCAGCAAATGTTATACATTTCTTCTCTTGGTGTCAGTGTTTACTCATCTTTACTCTGTAAGTCTATTGTCATAGTCCCCAAACAACGAAGTTCTGTTTTTCTACAGTACGTTGTTCTGCATAAAAACTGAAGTAATATAGCACAACTAAAATAACAACAGTAATATCTCTTCATTCAAATCCCACGCACAAGTATCGTGGGCACTTCATATGTTTCCTTGTCCTCTTAAACTACAGCATACAGCAGTTATAAAATCCTTTGCTATTAACAATTTTGATATTCTCAGTAAATTATTATCAATAATTATTGGATAGAAATAATTACTTATATGCAAAAAGTTCTCCATTCATTGGGAAGCGTATCCAGAAATATTTTCTTGCCCTTCAAGCATACCCTGGAATAATAAATATGCACTTTTGAAATGTTATTTGTATCATGCAGTAATTCACAGTATAAATTGGTGTTAATGTACTGTAAACTTAAAGTAATCTATCAGAAGGTTAGAAAACACAAACATGTGTTAGGAAACCAACCCAAAACATATATATTTTTCACTCTGATTTCAGCTTTTAAATATTTTTCTAAGACACTCTTGAATTTTATCCAGTATGTTCGGCTAAATTTTCTTGAAGCAAATAACAAAATATTTTCATCCTAACATTCTGGGGGACATATTGTTTACAATGGTTCCCAAAGAGCTAATGTTCTTTATTTCTGTTAGAAAAAAAAAGAGATTTTGCCTTTCAGATCTTTTAACAAAAGCTCTTTATATTATAGCATGACAAATCTTTTGTGAATTAAAACAAAATACTTTTGTGCCCTATGACTTCATATCTAGAAAGTTTTCACAGTGTAATCCTAATGTTTCTGAAATATTCTAGTGATACTTTAACTAAGTTATATAGTATATGTAATTTATTATCAGACATAAAACAAGCATTTGCTTCATGAGATGTAGAGGTACACAAAATGGCATCCAGTGTCTCTTTTTCTTTGAAAGCCAAGGATTCCAGAAGCTTCGAAATTTAGCATTTTGACAGGAAAAAATTTTAAATAAATTCATAGATTTGCTTGAATGCATGGTTTGTACTGCCATGGAAAATAGCTACATCTTTGCAGGTCACAGAGTTGCTACTCAAATTAGGGAGAGAAACCACGTACCCCCAGAAAAAGCCCCCCCAAAAAGATTATAAACACCATTTAACAAGGGATTTGACAGTTTCATACAGGAAAAAATAACACAGCATATGCTATAATGTGCTTATGCAAAATATCATGACACTTGAAGAGGAGCATGTGGTTTGCAATGGATCTTGGCTTTCTTACAATTGCATTACCAAAAATCTAGTTGCTATTATTATTATTATGTAATATATAAAACATTATGTATTACAAATATAAACATCAGTGTATGATGTCACTTGTATATGAGTGTCTAATTAAAACAGGACTTTGAAATACCTGTATGATTTCTTTGGATTTGAAAATGTGAATGGAGAGAGGTGGGGCAGAGAGAAAGTAAGCAAAAAATTACACAATTTTATATAAGTTAAAAGACAGAATACTTGAAGTGGCCTTCTGTAGTCTGGATTTTTTTTATTGTGAAAGATTTTGCATATAATTTTCCTTTTTTTTTTTGATTGAATCCATTTTCTCTTTTTTTTTTCTCATTTAAACTAGAGATATTGATTAGATATATGTTATGTTTCAACTGATGAACTTCCATGATCATCCATTTATATACAAAATAAGAAGTCAGCAATGTTATAGACAAATAAATCAATAGCTTTTTTTTTAAGGAGACAGGCTGCATCTTACACATTTCATCAAGGCACACCTCTGACAGCTCGTTAGAGAATTCACCTCCTACGAAATGAGCTTATGAGCAGGCTCCCTGGACATCGTATTGGGTTTGCTCCATAATTTCCTAATAAAAATTAATTTCTAAAGAGATGATCTTCTAGACACAAGTAAAAAAAATTGACATCATTGTTAAGTCAAAAACATATATTGTAACAAAATGCTTAGCCACATTATGATATCAATATTCCCTTCTAAATCATACAAAGTTAAAGAGGATTCATGCAAAGTTAAACAGTACTAAGCAGTATAAAAGAAAAATGAGCACAAGCTGAATCTGGGAAAGGAATCAGTATTCCATTAGTCATAGTTTCATTTGTTAAAAATGTCCCTTACAATCCTGTAATACAGCCTATGTTCTGCTTTTCTCTGAAACATCATAGCAGTGTAAAGAATATTACTACACTAGTTACAGAAAGACAGGTATACCATAGTAATTTGAACTATAGAATTCTGGATTTTTTTTCTAATTCAAATTACTTTCAGGAAATATATGCTCACAATACACTTGCAAACAAGAATTACTTGACATAAAATCTTAATTGCATGTAGGATAGGTTGTGCTTTTGATGGTTTATTCATCGAAGAATATAATTTCAGTAAACCTGAAATTAATAAGAATTTATGTTTTACTCTACAAATAGTTCCATAAAGACTGAAGATTTTGCAGCATCTGACAGAAGGAAGGGATCTGATTTCTACTTCTTCTTTACTTCTGCTTTTTCAGTTGTGTGCACCCTGCTTCTGATCTCTTCCATTATTTATTTGTGTAAACTGGGACAGTTTCACAAGGAAATATTGTCAGTTTTTTCTTATAGAATGAGACCAAAAGATAAAGGTCCTATTTACAGAGAGTATAGGATGTGGATCAAATCCCTGGATCTCAGCTTCCCAGATTAATATTCATACATAGACTAAAGTTGTGCTAATATAATAATTGATACTGTGTCTATACAGTATCAATTTAGATTCACATCTGATATATATTACATATCTACTCTAAAATTCTGCAAATCTAGAACTTTTTTTTTTCCTAATAGAAACAGACAGATTTTTAAACAGGAAAATGTGGTTTTTTTTGAAATTTAGCTGCAGTAGTACTTATTTGGATGTTTGCAAAAATATTCAACAT